GTAAATATTATTTCAGAAAACAACTTTGTGAAAGAGAATTAGTTTTTCTAACTCTGGGAAACCAGATACACACAAACACTCATTCCATACCAACTTACCTAGCCACATCAAACGATTGTGCCTTTTGCAGTTTTGCATTTAGCTGTGATCCTGGACCAGATCTACTAAAGGAAGAACTCTTTGGCAACGTGGCTGTAAATAAGAGAATACGTGTATTTATTAGTATTAGCACTTTAAACTGTAGAATTTCAATTACGTTCATTTAGTTCCTAACTTCAAATACAAGCATTATGGTTCTTTTGACGGTATCCCTTTTAAAAATATTGGGATACATTAAGAGCGTCTAATAAAACAGGTGAAAACACACAGGCACTTCTCTCATGTCTTTTTACTTTTGCAGTTTTATGAAAACACTGTTGATATTAAATTATATTCTGATGAATGTTAGAAATCATATGTATTCCAGTATTTTAAAGTAATCCCAACAAATAGCAGCACTTCAATAGTTATAAATAGATAGGATAGGACCAATTTCTAAGCAACAGTTTATTGGCAAACTAGATTTATCACACTGCACTTATAACAGGGTTAATGTTTTGCTCAACATGACTGACTGTTAGAGTATGGTATGTCCATGTTTCTTCTTCTAATTTTTATACAAGTTTGCTTACCAATGACATTGGGCTAAACGAAAGTACAGTCTTTACCCAAAGTCATTCTTCAAAGTAAGTTAGAATGGCTAATCCCATGTCTACAGTTCTCTGAATCCAAAGAAAATGGCAAAATAGATTGTTAATAGAAAGAGAGTGAAGAGAGTCTCAGTATGTAGCATACCGGGATGAGCAAAAGCAGGCAGAGGCTGTATAACAGCAGGAGCTCCATTAGCCAGGGGAGGTACTGCTGCTGCAGGAACAGAAGATACTAATGGTGGAGACATTCCTACTACTGGAATAGATGCCATTGGCACTGGGGCAACAGTTGTAAGAGATGGCATGCTGGCAATGCCCCCAATACCTATGGGCAAGAAAAAGAGAATTTTTTTCTCATTTAGAGATTCCTAATATGGTGTAACAATTTAACTGCAGCCTGCAACCTAGCAGCAAAAGCAGAATTAAAGAGCAAACTGAAACAGAAACTTCCACACACCCCTTGAAAGAACTCTTACAGTCCACTGCACAATTAGCATGGCAGGGGAACATAAAACAATGCAGAGGGAACAACATACCACTTTGTAATATAGGCATGTAAGATCACTTGATGCAACAATGACCAAAAAAGTCTATTAGCATTTGCTGAAGAAAAAAATAATTTGGCTTGAACCAAATGAAGCGCAGCACTGTCAACTTCCAGTGAGAAATGAACCCAAAGCCTGCATTTAGCCAGGGCTGAAAAGAACAAGCTTCAAGATAACTGCTTGCAGCCTATTCTCAAGATGAAACAGTGCAAAGCTAATAGGGTAGAGCACAGTAATGAGGCATTTTAGGTGTAGGCACAGTTGCATGGATAACAAGGAGGTTAAGGAGGTCCAGTCATGCCAATGGGAAGAATGAGGCTGTGTACAAACAGCTGAGATCAAGTCTACACTGAATAAGAAAAAGGAAAATCACAGATTTTGCTGGTTTTATTAGGGGTTTGACTTTATTATGCCTTTTCTCACTTAAACCAGTATACATTCTGTTTCATTTCACCGATTTCTTATAGTCAAGAACAAAACTGTTTGTGAAACTTGTGGAAGCGACAAGTGATCAAATAACATGGTTGCATACAATTCATCAAATGTACTATTCCCTTTTCTTAAGGACAGCAGTGGTTCTCAGGCACCGATCAACATGAGGCACAATATTAGCTAAAACAGAAAGGTAAGGAACCTCGCACTACTGAATACAGCAGAACATCAAGGTGTCAAACATGAGGTTCAGCTTAATTTTGTTATTTTCCTCTCACTAACCCATTTTTCCTACTCTTTTCCTTGAACTGATGGTGACCTTGGCAGCACTAACCATGAGAACTGAATCAGCAGCTGTTCTAGCTAATACCAGTGCAGCACTGTTCATAAAACGAAGGCAGAGGGGTGCATTACTACCATGATTTGTAAAAGGTCAAGAAAAATGTAGGTAATCTTGCCAAAGCTGGAGGTCCTTTAATGAAAAATAGAGATAAATAACAAGAGTTTAAATAAAAACTCCATCACTTTGGAATGCACTAGCTGTGCTACCTGATCCATCTTTCTTCCCTGCAAACACTTTAGTCTGTAACATACAGGGAGCAGCAAAGACCTGAAGCACACAGGACCTCAACTTATGTTATTCAGTATAGTTGGGTGCTAAAGGCTCATTGATTTTCTTGGAGCATGTACACGCATGGGGAAGCATACAGTTTTGAGTCCACATACATTTAGAAGTACTTTTTCCTGGAAGTTTCTTTGAGAAATTGCAAAACAATCCAATTCCACTTAGGTTGCCATAATACAAGCTAACAAGGAGGAAAACAAAGAGCTTACCAAATCCTGGTGCACTAGGTAGAGCAATAGGTGGCTGCTTCATGACAGGAGGCAGTGCAGATGGGAGTTGATAACCTTGTAATTTTAATTTGATAAGTTTCATAGCTATTGAAAACTCCAGCTGATCCATCCTCCCATCATTGTTCATGTCAGCTAGAGCCCTACAAAATACATAATTTAAGAATCTAACTGTGAAAATCATGAACTTCAGGAACTGACCTAGGAGTGAGCACACAGAGGCATGTATATTCAAGACTAATTCATTTCCAGTCAAAATAATTATGCCAGGCTAAAAATGGTCATGAAACAAGACACTGTTTAAACAGAGAGCTTCTTGATTTCTTTCTTGGAACAACTAGTATTTTTAAAGTTGCTTTTCAACTCTTAAAGGAATTACAGTGAAGCATATAGAGAAGAAGAATTACTGTAGTTCTACAAAAACTTTGCAAAATCACACAAATGAAACTCACAGTACTACAAACAGCACCACAGGGAATCAAATTACTTAAGTCTACAAATGTGTACTTTAGCTACATTTAAAATAAAGTGTTCTTTAAATTTGTGCACTTTACTAAACACCATTACATCTCCAAGTGTACAAATGTGTTTTCAGTTAAATAACAGTACTCAAGATAAAACATTGAGCCTAGACCTTGAATAGACTTCATTTAGAGCAGTGTGACTTAAACAGTCTTTTTGTTTCTTCATTTGATGGTTAAGAAAACCATGCTCAGCAGGGAATAGGGTTGGGAGGTTGGGGGGAGAGAAGCAGGAAGAAGAATGTTAGTTCCTGCAATTGCAAACCAAAAAACACAGTAAATGCATATTAATAATGTAACCAGTTGTAAACTTAGTTTTAAACATTATGCTTATTATTTTGCATTCATTTGAAGAATTAAGTACGCATTTCAGTATTGGAATAATAAATATTTTTAAGTTCATGCGTAACTTACATGTCACAGACATGACAACACAAAGGACCCAGGCAGTCTAGTTAAACTAGAGCTTTATTTCTGATCAAATCCCTGTCAAGCAAAGCTTTCATGCAAGTATGTGAAAAGTTATCAAAAAATAATTGGACTAAATTGGCAGTTATTTATAACTGATACTTAAATAAGAAGATAGCCAAGTAAATGCAGTGGCGAAGCATTTGCCAAATGAAAACCCTCCTACCCCATCCAGAAAAAAAAACAGGAAAACTCAACGACGAGGCAGATCCCAGCAGGGGTTGCCACAGGTCAACCATACATCTTAAGAGTTTCCCCTGTTAGATCACCAGTAGCATTTCCCCAAATTCGGAGACACTCCAACCCTTCCCAATACTTGTAAGACAGCATTTTCAGCAGTGTATCTGTCTTAATCCATCAATTTTGATGTCACAAAGCTAAATACTACTACTGAAAATCTGGCAGCAGTATTTAAATAAGAAAGTCTGGTGAGGTGTAGACTCTGAGGCTTACAGTTAAAAAGAAAAGTATGCATTGCACCACTCCCTGAAAGATGTTAAATTACTACATATATTTCCTTGAAGAACATGTTTTGGCTGTGAGAACTTCTAGGCATTGTTTCACGAAGCTCCGTATCACAGGGAAGTTAAATTTACACATAAAATCTACCCGCTCTTCAGTAACTTTAAACTTACCTCTAATCCCACTACCAGGAAGTCTTTGGAAGCCTTAATTTAGTCAAAACTGATTCTGGGACGCACATAGCATAATGTGATTTGGATTCATGATCACTTAGCATGTGGTTTACTTGGCAAATAAAAAGTTAAAAAGATCCATATATCAAGTCCAACTGCTAGAGTAAGTAGTCCAACCAGCAGAAGGAAGAGAGAAGGCCAGCATGGCAAACCTAGACCAAGAGAAGCACCAATTTGGAATGGGTATCTCCTCTTTCCTGCAGAACACCACTGCTTTAGACTCTCAGCTTCTGATCACTCTTCTATAAGGAGCAAGCAACACACTGGTACCTCCTGACATATTGGCAGGCTAAGCTGGAATGGAAGATGTAATGTTTTTATCTTCACGCAACTTGCAGAGATGAGTGGGAGAACCCTAGTGAAGGCAGGGTTCTCCTGTAAGTGTTAAGCAGCAAGGATAGACTGCAATAGCTGTTAATGAAAAATGTGTATTTCAAAATGAGAGGTATAGTTACTTCTAGAAAATAGTTAAAAACACAGAGTAGACTTCTCACATTTTGTTACTGAAGTTATCCATATTCTCTTTATTCTGAAGCGCAATGTCTTTCTCTGGACATAAAAATACTAAGAGTTTATTAGTTTCCATTATATCTTTCTGTCCAGTGGGGTGTACATGCCACTACAAGCAAACCTGCAAACAGACTGCATGTATGCAGTATGTAGTACTTCTCCTCCTATACAAAGAAATGGGTATAAACCTCAGAAAGACGTGTTTGCATCTCTCTCAGATTTTCTCTACATCAGAAATGTTAGTATCAACTTAAAATTCCTGTAAAAAGCCCAAATTAATTTTGAAGGTATTCATAGTTTAGCTATGATAATTAAGAATATCCACTCTGTCTATTTTTCAACAATAGCGTGGAAGAATCTCACAACATGCTGTAGAGTTTTTGCTGCCCAAAATCATCACTCAGGTTTACAAGGAACAGTATTACTCAGTACATTTTCATTTTCTTCTTCATACATCTTTTACTTTTTACAATCAAAACATTGTTTCATATAACGTCCATTAGTCACCACCTATAAACAGTGATGTTAGATTTCAAAAGGCCTCACCTGGAAGAAATACGTGCTGCAAGTCTTACAAATCTGAAACATTCAAGAGGCAAAAGGTATTTGGAGTGTCAGAATGCCAGAGACTTAATGGCTAAATGTATTTTCTGAAGTGCTCCCTTTTGTGGGTTTTGCACTAAAAAGTCAACCAATGTACAGTGAATGAATACCGAGGGTAAGAAAGCCTCATTAGAAAATTGCAGAGTATTAAGAACAATGGAAATCAGGAGCAGATAATTAGTTTCACTTAACTGACGCTTACAAGCAGACACCACACCTTTTTGAAGGCAACTGAAGAAAATTCAAAAATATTCAAGAGCGAAAATGTGTGGGGTTTTTAATGAAAGTTTAGTTCAACACTTGCTTAGGCATTCTTCTGTCAGATGCGCTGTGGAAACAGGCAGTAAAACCCAGGCTGACACAGCTAGCAAGCTGAGGATGTGCATAGGAACAAAGCTAGAGAAACTGATCTGGATAAACCTATTCTAGTAGATTTTTGACTGCACTCCAAGCAGTCAGTGGTCCTCCCAAAGATGGCTCCTTCCTTAACATATGGAGAAGTCAGCTCCATAGTGACTGACACCAACCTACAACTCAAATAGTCACAATGTTCCTTACCTCTTTGCATTTAAGCAAAGTCTTTACACAAATTGTATTTATAATACTTACTTGTCAACTTAAGTGGCTTCTACACCTGCAAATACTTTGATTCAGAAGTACTAGCACACAGTAACTTTTTGCATTCTACATGAGAAAATATTAACTGTCCAGTAATAAGACACTTTGATGTGCACTAGTCTCGTTGCTTTAATTGAACTCCTACTCACATAATCATCAGTAGCTTTTAATTTAATATCTGACCTTCTGTTCAACTCATTTACTCTACATCAATGGCTTTGTTGTTTAAATTAACAGCACAAATTTCAGTGAGAAAAATTACGTACGTACTACAGAATTTATACACGTTTGTCAGCTTTTGTCTGACAAAATCTTCAGTGCAAAAATAGAACAAATTTCCATTTCTAATTACTGAACCTAGCGTCATGCTGTTAGATTACAGTGCAACTTTTGAATAACCATCACCTTAAATGCAGTGAGTGGCTGACAGTAAACACTACCTAATTTCACTGTTCTACTTCTAATGAAATTTGGAAGAACGCAGTGTCCTTAAATTTGTTTCATTTAAGGTCTGTCCGGAACCAGTGCAAAGCAGTAAATGAATTAAACATGGACTAAGTATTTAATATATTTTATAGAACAGGCCCGTGCTTATAACAGGGAGAGACTGCAGTGGGCTTCATTACAATGCTAGGTTTCAGATGCTGACAAAATTCTGACTCTACAGATCTTTTCCTCCTCCTTTCTCTCCTCTTTTCTGCAGCATGCAAAGACAACTTGATTATTTCTGCATTTATGAGGCACAGAAACTGAGCATGCACAGTTTTTTTTCTGTCAAATATGCTTATGATTAGCCTACAGAACATCTAACTCCACGAAAATAACACAATGTTAAACCAAGGAAACCCCCTTGCATTTCAAAAATCTGGATTTATTTAGCTTTACATTCCCATATTAGATTACACAATCCCATATTGCATTATAAAACTCAGCCATAATGGCAGAAATTAGGTCTTTAGCATCAGCACTTAGTCAATGCATGTACAGTAATAGTTACAACTCACAGAATTGCCACCCATAATCTTTAACTCTCACACCTGGACACAAATTTAAGAAGGTTGTGAGGGAAGTGTATGTCAGAAATAGTTAAGTCAACCAATGGCTTCAGTTTGTCCTGACAAAATAAATAACTCTAAATGCATGAAAAACAGATGGCATTGATTATTTTAGTTCTCATTTAATTCCAGAGAGACAGGCTACACAGAAGATGCTTTTTGAGGCCACCATTCATGAGGGCTTTAGAAGAAAGCCAGATTATTGCCTACTTAAAAACAGTTATCTTCCGAGCCATTGCAGTCTCAATTCAAAGCCTACTTAGAGGCTTCTTAATGGATTACCAGCTTGGCAGACTCCAAAGCTTGTAAGGGTAGAAGAGTAAAGAAGTTCTCATGACAGACCATAATAATTCCACTAGTTTGCTCCACTGAGGTCCCAGAGACTTCTTTTCTTCTCAAATGAATGATGAGTAGAAGGGACACAGACATTCTCAGTGATAAAAAAACATGGAGCTACTATTTTTAAGGAACATGAATTCTGGGGAAGCTTTGATTAATAGTAAAAATTAAAGTAAGATATGCTCCTTAGAGTCTCATCTTAGACAACAATGACACCAACTGCAGAATATTCTTAAAGCAGCTCTTGAGGCAGAAGACCTTTAACTGCTACTCCAGCTAGCTAGCTAGCATTTCTTGAAGTTCTAGGAAAAACTATATTTTCCTGCTACAAAAATTGCAATTCAATTTTAATTAAAATATAAGACAGCAAAAATTCTTATACTGCTCACCTATGCAAACAAAATTCTCTCACTCATGAAATGATATGTTTGGAAACTCATAGAGATACAGGGCTTGCTTTTTCTGTAGAGAGCTCTGAAAGCAGTATCACCAATCACTTACTAGGCCAATCCCCCCTGCAGCTCCTGTCCCAGTTGTGATTTTCTATACAAGAATTTCCATAGCCAAGAAAACAGATGAAACTTTTTATTAGCATAAGCTTGACAACATACAGCTGTAGGTAATCCTTTACAAAACAAATGCTAGGCTCCTGTCTTGCAGACAGATTAATATGATCAACAGTATTCAAAATAAGCAGACTCATTAAGAATAGGAAAACACTTCCAAAACACAACATACATACACTTTCATGTTTCTAGGATCAGAAAATTAATCTGAAGAATTTTACAAGTTTCTCTAACTCACAACTTTCCTTCCTTAAAGACCGTTTTACTTCTCCCTTTTCTTCTTCTAATAATCAAATGATATCTATAAAAAAATTTCCATCTATTCAGGAAATAAAGAATACTGATAGAAAAGAAGTTTTATGCAGCTCGTATATCTCACAGAGATTCTGGGCTTATTACTCCAGAACTCCCCCCTCTATTAAAGTAGTCACAGATCTATAACAATGTTAGTAAAGATTTAGATAGACAACAATAGAATATTGCTATTATTCCACAAAGCAAGTATGCCACTTCAAGATCTTACCCTGGGAGCTAAGACAAACAATGATTCACATTTTTAAACGCAGCTTTGAGCATATTGTCATGTCCTTTCGAGGCTGCAAAGGACTTCTTGCCACTAAACAGTCTAACTGCTATTGTTTCTGCGGGACAGCAATAATCTGTAGTAGGCCACAAACATTCACTGATCAATTAAAAGAGTTAAACCATTTGAGTTGTGGGAAAAGGGGGTTTTCCCCTCCTTTTTTTTTTTTTTTCTTTTTAAGGAGTCTTACTACCACTATGAGACTACTTTCCTACTTGGTTATTCTAATTCCAACTGGGAATATATACAAGTGATCTAGATTTTTACATAAATATTTACTTCTCCTAATTCAGTCATGATCAAAAAGAACAGAGACAGTGAGAAATGGATGTCTGCATGCTTTTTTATGATTTATAGAGGCAGCATGAATACGTTTTAGTTTGGCTTTATTTTAAAAAAAAATGTGCAAGTTCAGGTCTTGTCTCTATGACAACTACAGAACCAGTGGAATGATTCTCCCCCTCTCAAGTGGCTGAAAAACTGAATAATTCAGAGAGGAAGAGATTTTTAGTCAGACTACTTACAAGTGTTTAGTTTTATTAACACCTATTTAAAGCTAATGCGTATGGAACATTTTTGGAGAAAGGATGTCTTGTTTAAGACAAAACTTCTTTCTTTGTTTAGTTAAGAGACAAGAGAAGTTCCAAAAGGACATTTAAACTGTCAATAAGTCTTTGACAAATAAGATAACCAGACAAGATTTGATATCTGTAAGACGAAGATAATTTGAAAAGAAAGTAAGGAACGTATTTACAAGCCATGTAGATCCAGCCCTCTTTTAGACATGTATATTTACAAAGCAATCTTTTTCTTGCAAGAAAATAATTCTCTTCTTTTGTCAGTCAGAGCAAGAATCTGCCTTTAGAAGTCCTTACTACAACAAAAAAGTTTTTATAACTGCAAGAAACTACTCTCTCTTCCAAACAGTTAAAAACAGAGGAAAAGTTAACATATTTTTTGAAAGTTATCCATCCCTCTGCTGCCTTTTCCAATATAGAATGAAAACCAGTATTATTTCACTCTGTCTAGCACTAAAAAAAAGTTTTAGTAGTAATATAATTAATGTAAATTATTAGTAAACTATACAGGTTAGCATGTCTGAGTCTGGCAGGATCATACAATTTGGAGTAGAAACAATTGTAGACCTGCATGAAGAAACTGTCAGATTGTAGAAATGTTTGTGATGCGTAATATACAGCAGTGGAGATCTGTCTAAACTCACCAAGGAATAGCAAAAATTTCAAGCTTTCAAGCTGTACCTCCAACTACAATGGAAATAGTCTATGCCAGTCTTCATTTTTGAAATAAATTTTGCAAGTCTTGCATAGGCTGCCCCATTAGAAGATTTTTAATACTAATTACTGTGCTTAGCAATTGTATTAGTACAGTTCTAATAAAGTTGAAAGCATTTAGTAATTTGAAATGAGGGTTGTAAATTGCCAACTTCAAAAATGCCATTTGTAGAAGGATGGCTACTTCCAATAGCTAAACTAGTAATTTAAAAACTCAGCTAAAACATCCTACAAAGCGTACTTGCCTTGTACACTTTTGGAAAGCACACTGAACTAAATAGGTGATTTTAAACCCCAGAATGCAAAATACACTTACTGTCCAAGTCTGTACCAGTAAACTTCACTCTGTGACACAACTGCAATTCTCCCATCCCCTCGCATGTACTCACCATATCTGTGCTAACACCGGTTGAGGTAACCCAGATTGAAAAAAAAAGTTTCTAGCTTGATCACCTATAAAATAAATAGGACATCATTTTAGAAAATGCTAAAAATACTTGTAAGAGGAAAGAGGAAATCATGACTCAAAAATATCTAAAACAGAAGCAACAGTAAAATCATAAATACTTAATGCTACACATACATACCAGCATATGAGATTTAAACTTAGTCACTTGCAAACCTACCAGATATTTCCAACAAGCACATACTGTTTAAGTCTGCAACAGTCAGCACCACATGAAGTCAACTGGGCATAAATTTAGGGCAATGGGAAACTCATGGTTCACAGTCCATGATCTGTGTTAATGGCTCCCTTTGCAGGAATCCTATGCCTCATGAGAACAAGAACACTTTTTCTTCCAGAGAAAGTATGTAGCAATATAAACTCTATCTTACATTTTTTGGAAGTACAACGCCAGTGATGTGAACCTGATAAGCCACCATTAAACAAAGGAATGGTGTATTTCAAAGTAATTTTCCAACAATCAATTAAAAGTAAGGATAGCAAAACAATTACAAAAGGCTTAGGCACTTGGAAATGTTGTGGCCTGTAAAGGAAAGTTGTAAACAGATAGAAACAGCACTAAATACCAAAGGAGGTCAACAAAAACAGTAGTATTTTGTACCATATCTGTCATGGAGCAGGAGCAGAAGTAATAAAATTGTATACTTGGAGGCATGTATGGCTGTGATGAGACTGCTGGGAATCCAATTCTGATTTCACACTCTGGAAGTCCTCTTGGTGGATCAGACAGCAAGAAAGGTAAAACACTTCTATACCTTTCATTTCAATTGAGCATCAGAGTTTAAACAGCACTAAAGAAAACTAAATTCAATAAAATTGTGGGATGTCAGGGTTAGGTTAAAGGTTGGACTTGATGATCTTAAAGGTCTTTTCCAACCAAAGAGATTCTATGATTCTAAAAACAGCTAAGAAAAAAATAGGCATCCTATTGCCTTTAAAACCAAAGCAAATTAGCAGTGTTCAATGAAAATTTAGTAGGATGAGTGCAATTCCTTTACTTCCCACAACTTAAATCAATTTTGCCATTTAGATATTTTAAAGAGGTCATCCACGCTGATTTCACTAGTTTAAACAATCAGTTTCTGAAGCAGATTTCAATTAAATTGATACATCTTTATTTAAACAGACTTCTTAATCTATTGGTATGTTAGCATGGTGGCTTGACCCCAGGCAGAAACTAAGCACCCAGCCACTCACTCAATTCCCTCCCCCCGGCAAGTTGGGGAAAAGAATAGGGAGAGCCAAAGTGAGAAAATTCGTTGGTCACAATAAAGGCTATTTAATAAGTGAAAAAGTAGGAAAAAAAAAATCTCCAAGTGATGCAAAGGTAATCACCACCACCCTCAAGCTCCCTGAGCAAAGGCTACCCTGGAAGACAACAGCCCAGTTTTTGCTGAGCATGGTGGTATGGGAGAGAAGCTTTGCAAACACTGTCCAGCCACAGCCAAAAGACTGATGTGTTATCAACACTGCTTTAGTCACAAATCCAAAACACAGCACCATACAGTGCTATGAATAAAGTTAACTCTACCTCAGCCAGACTCAGTATAGTGAGTTAATTTACTGAGCACATTAAAAGTGCTATAAATATTACCAGGCATCAGGGTGATTCCATGTCCTGAATTGTAACTCTACAGTTTGTAAGTATCAGCTGGCTCTACACAGTAGAACTGCTTTACAGCCACAGTTATTTTAATCCTACTTACAGAAAAATCAAGCAGCGTAAACCACTTTTACAGCTGGTAAACATCAGCAAATATCAGAAAGGATGGGTTGATGTGTCAAGGCATATGAAAAACAAAACATAAAATGAGTAATATCTGTTCAATTTTTTAAATTCTTATGCCCAAAGGCATAAGGCCCTTATCTTCTAGGCAACTCTGTATATACTCACGCTCGTTAGTTAAGATTTAATTAAATGAAATTAGAAGTTAAAAATATTTCATTACCAGTGATAAATCCAGATGTTGGTTTCAGACTGTGGAACTGTTGATCATGTTTAGCTCTCTCCTCCACAGTAATAGCCCAGATATCCAGGTTGCCTAGTTCAGAAGAAATGGAGAAATAAAATTAAGAAACATCATCTAAATACTATGCAATTTTTAATCCTGAGTGTAATTATATCATACTGGACCTCTGAAAACAACACACACGCAGAAGCCATTGATCCAAAGGCTATAGTTGAAAGCTCCATGAATCCTTACATAGCCAGTTAGGACTTTTGAACTTACGAGAACTAAGTGCTAGCAAATTAAGATGACTGCTGAGCACTGATTCACTTATCTGGCTCATACAAATCTTAAGTTACAACTACGCTACTCAAAGTGCAATCAAACTTACAAATGGGCTATTAAAAGACAACATCAGCATACCAGAGGATATAGTGCAGAAAGTTCATAACACTAGATATTTAGGGGGTAGGAGGTCATTTGCCTCTTAGAGCACATACAGCTGAAATGTAATTCAAGGTCTTTTAACTGAAAAGGTACCTCAAATAATCAGTTGTGTATTATGTAGTTTTATACTGTTGTAAGAGAAGAACACTCCTTACTCATCTAGGAAAAGTGTGATTCAAGCAGATAGTAAACATTTTTCATGGGTAACAATAGCACAGGAAAGCCTGTTCCTCATTCTTCTAAGAATAAGAAATCAGAGTAAGAGTATGTTACACAGACCAAATTCTTCACACTAACACTTGTGAATTGGAGGTGAATATTTAGTTTACGTTGACATTTTCTACCCTTCCACGATGCCATGCTTCCACAATGCTTTCTCCAGTTCTACCTCTATTTTTGCAGCACTTTCTCTCCTCTCTCTCCTCTTGCAGACATTTCACTTTCATCCTTCAAATTATTTGTACTAAGACCAAACATATCTCAACTTCCATTTGAGACCTCCAATGAACTCTCTGACACTGTGCTTCAGGTTTGTCTCAACAATTTCTAACAAGTAAAACATCATGATTTCAACATCCATCAAAGTACATTACACTGGTGCCCCTTCCTGTAACTCCTACTGTATAGGAACATAATGATATGAAGGCATTTAAGTTAATGGAATCACTGTTTTATTGAAGTAGTATTAAAAGATAAAATGTAGACTTGTGGAAAAATAAAGAGGAGGTCAAGCATTCACTCTGTCTCAGCACTAAAGTCTCAGAGATTAAATTTCAGGTAATAAGGTCCACAAATATTTACGGCAAGTAGTTCCAACTGCTTGCAGGCTGAGGCAGAATCAGACTCAGCAGTTATGAAGAACATGAGAATTTCCTGCCTCCTGAATTTCTTCTATTTAAAATCTACTTTCACATGGCAAAATGTACTTTGGAGAGAAAAGGAAACAAACAAGGGGAGGAAAAAAATTCCTTTAAATGGTAGATTTCATTAATGAAAGAAAAGCAACATTCTTGGTAAAAGATTATCATCTCAGTTTTAGGTAACCTATGTAGTTCTAAAAGCAGACAGGCTAATAATATCTAATTCAAAGAAAGGACATTTTAAGATTAGTCCAAAAATCCCCGAATTTTAGTGATCAAGCTCACTGAGGCAGTTTAAACAGATTTCATAGCTGTGCTCCCTCTGGGGACAAAACAGGACTCTTTGGATATGAACACCCCAAAACACAATAGTTCACATAAGCAATTGCCTCCCCCATCTTCTTCTGAATTCCTGACAGGAGGAAAGGAATGGTGTTGATTAAGACTTTATGACCGATATGCAGACTAGGTCAACTAGTTTAGGCCAACTAGAATCAGATGAACATCTCCCTGTATTAGAAACATGGCTACTCCAGCCTAAGTTCCTATGGCTGGATGTGGTAGCTTACACAAAGAGGAAGAATTTCATGAATATCACATGGGGAGAAAAAACAACAAAAAAACAAACCAACATGAAATTTGCAATGATTCACTGGCTTGCTCTCTCTCAATTTGAGGTATGCATGACTCCAGTACCAAAAAAAAACCTCAGTGAAAAACACCAAACCCCCAAAACCACAACAACAAAAAAAACCAAACCAAACTCAGCTCTTCCTATCCTTCTGCAAAGAAGGCAATAAAACCCAGAACTAAAATCTCTTATCGCATGAGGTAACTGCGTTCTATTAACTATTTTAAAACAAAATTTGATTTCTTCTCTGGAGTCCCTGTAACTAGAACAAATGCTTGTCAATATTTACTCTTCCAGATGGAGATTTGGTTGGTATTGAAACAGTAGATCTCCTTGGTGGGATATGAACACCAAAAGAGCCAATGTTAAACCAAGCAAGCCTAGTAGCCTCCTCAGTCAGAAGAGTATGAATGGCATCTCTGGCATTGCCTTGTTTCCATCTTTTGTTGTTTGAGGAAACAATAAGACCTATGGGAGAGCATGAAGCAGGATCTTACCCAACACCAAGACATAATTCATGGCTTCAGATCCTGGATGCCAAAGCAGATTGCGGGGCTTTTCAATATTTGGATACAAAGGAGGCAGTCACCAAACCACAAAATTGACTCATAAGCAAGCTATTCTTGAATGCAGCTCTAACCATCTTTTCTTTCACATGGCTTAGTAATCGCCTCATCTGCAAAAGTGAAGCAGTGGGCTTTCATATATGAAATGGACATTTTCTTCTCCTGGACAAGTGGACAGAAGGCCAAGCATACCACATTCTTCCCAACAATTATAAAAATCCTACTATGCCTATTTTCTTTTAATTAGTCATCCTTAACATGAGCAGTGTTCTGGAATACCAATGAGTCACCCCAATTTAAATAGTGGGTGCTGTGCTCTTACCATACCCATTTCCCAAGCTAACTTGAAAGATATTTTCAGAAGAAAAATTAAAATAAAAACAGAAACATCATTATTGGTATCCACAATCAGAGGGATACCAGATACTGCACATTTGGAGTGAGGGCTCTCCCAAGATGGAGACTGCATAAATTTCCTCCTCTGCATCCTAGTTGGTGACTACAAGTAACAGAAAATGTTGCATTCTTGAAAGGATGACAAATTTTGCCATAAAAATTGGAATTTTCTTTACACCATTTGTTTCCTATTACACACAATCTTAGACTTTTGCTGTCATTCTTCTAAGAGGAGGTATGATGCTACTTGGTAGGCTTGGTTCAAGTATAAAGAAAAGATTGTCCTTAACAGATACAACATTTATGTGGAACCAAAGTAGTTACTAGTTCTCAGTACTAAAATTTATCTTTGTAATCTTTCTTCAGATTGGTTGAAAAAAATGGGCTCAAAAACGTTATTTCATTAAAATAGCAAAAAGCAATGTCTCTATTGCACTACCAGGGCCCTTCCTGGATCTTTGAAAAAGGCTGAGGTTCAAGGTGCTATACCTTCCCCTGTTATAAATGGAGAGCTAAAAAAATGCAGCACCTTTGTTCTAACCTAAACACAGGTTATAGGACAATAAGGAAAAGAAATTTTAAGCAATAGCATGCAAAGGCATCTGCTGTACTTTTTAGCAATGAAAAAACCCAGGAATCCTCACAGAAAAAGCATATCCACTTGTCAGCCACAACTAGTGCTTATAAAGTGAGAATTTGTAACATTCAACTAGCATTTTAGAATTTCCTCTGAAAAAATATGAAAAAAGCAGGCAGGACTGAGTAGGGAAGCTTAAGACAGGCAAATAAAACTGGGTAACTGCAGAATGTGGCTATGCCCTACTGCCAGTGGCTGAGTGGCCTGGATCTGCCCTACGGTTACAAACTGTAGGACTGTAATGGATCAATGCACAAAAAGGAAAAAAGCACAGCTTTTCTGTTTGACTCTTCCAAGATGTCTCTGCAAAATTTCATGTGTGTTCTCTAACGGGTCAGCAAAAACATCACAAATCAGATAAACTATCAACTCAGAAAGACACGCTATCCATAAACAGCATTCGGAAAGCAACACATTTATGCAGAACTTCTGCATACAAGAATAGTTCAGAATACACTACAAACAACTTACCCCCAAAAGGTGTTGGAAACTGAGCCATGGTTCTTCACTTTTAGCTTGTTAATAGATGCCTGAAAAAGAAAAAACAATGGATAATCAGTTACAGTATTTTCCATTTTCAATGTATTTTCTGTACCACCATATAAGTGATTAGTACAGCAAAAAATAAAGGCAGCAAAGAAGCAGCATCATATAAACACTACCTGCAAGAACTGTTACTTACAAGAGAACTAAACATCTAATTTTTTTGCACTATCCTACGCATTCATGGGTGTGTTTTCATACTAGCAAACATTTCAATTCTGTTTCAAGAATGTCCTCGAAAACAATCTTCATCTATAAATAATCAGTGATGTAGTAAAGAACAGAGTTAAGTCAGCCACAACAGACAAGATGTCAGCGACACTGCTCAAGGCTGCATTACTTTACCGGGTGTTAGAGTTCTGTTCCTACTTAAGAGCAAAATGGCTCTATTTCCAACTGTTGAAAACATACAACATTGTCAGTGATCTGTTTTTTATTCCTGACAGAAACATTCATGTAATGCGCTGTCTTGCTTAGAGTTCCTTTGCTTTAAAGAAAGTACATTAAAAAATGAAACTAGGTTTCAGGACTGCTTTACCCCGAAACTAGCCCACAAATTTAGTAAGCACATCTGAATGAAAAAAGCGCTGAAGGTGGCATTGCAAGCAAAAGTACATTAGTTGATAGGAGATACTCTTAAGTTAGGGCTGCTTGCTTTTCAAATAAAAGCAATCTACACAGTCTAGAAACTTAATCTTTAAAGAAAAAAGGAAAAACATTTTTCTTACTTCGCACAAAGACTGACATGAACTGCCTGAGCCAAGAGGACAATAGCTAGCAACAGAGCCACAAAACAATGAAAAAGTAGCCTCTTGTCCTACTAGATTCCACTCATGTTTTCCAGGCAACAGGAGAAAAGCAAAAGGAAACAGAATCAGAGGGAGAATAATTTAGACTCCTTGAACAGCAGCAGAAATTTATCAATATCACTAAGAAAAGGCATTAACTTGCATCAACAATTTCCTTTTGTCTGAATTTCTTGTTTGCTCCCATCCCCCTTCCACACTTCCCACATACTCTTCTGGCTTCCAACTTGGGAACCTACTATATATACACTCCACAGATGTCACTACAGAAAAACCCAACAGCACTTTTATAAGCCAGTCTCCCCATCAGTTGTAATTTAGAGAACTATGAAAAAAATACTGATTTTTTTCCTCATAATTTGGCAGAGCAACCAAGCGTGGTACATGACTCAGAAACCTTCTTCCAAATGCCAGGTAACACAGCCGATACTAATTTCATGCACAGCAAGCATTATCTCAAGTTTAAAATCACATGCATACTGATACAGTGTTTTCAGAATAAGCTATCTTAATACTATAGCTCTTTCTAAAGCATTTCCTAAGTGCATTTTTGCTTATGTTTTCTTATTGTACTCTGTTGCAGGCAATACCTCTATTATGCTTCTATTTTTTAAAACTGCAAGCAAAGTCTAGGAGGAAAAAAAAGAGAAAGAAGAATTCCCTGAACTTCCACATCACTTGTACCATTGAATCTTACAGCACAGGCACTTTTTACACTCAAGTGTTAAAAAGATAACAGGAGAGAGACCAGCAGAGCACAGATTCTCTTCCTACTTCAATTTCCCAGAGTATGCAGAATGACAGGAAAAGCACTTCGGGAGGACGACAGACTTGCAAAGGAGAAGTAGAGGGTGGGTTGGGGAGGGAGGGCCGGGGAGGGTGATGGTGTTTGGTTTGTTGTTTTGGTTTGGGGTTTTTTTGCAAGCTAAGAACATTTAAATATTGTAAATACTGGAACAGAAGAGTGCATAAAAGGATTGAAAACTTTAGCCACTCAAGGGAAGATACTCCCCCACAGCTTACTAGTATTCCAAAGAAATTGTCAGTTTATTCCTCCTTTACCTTGAACACATCAGAAAGAGGGGAGGGAGTGGGAAGACTAGCCCTGTGCTGGGTGCCAAAGAAAGCATAAAACCATTCTAAACAGCTTGTGGAGAAGGGGGAGGGGGGGGGGAAGGAAAAAAAAAAAAGGAGTAAGCAGATTAAATAGTGATGGGTAAAATGGAGAAAAGGAACAGAAAGCTGTGTTTAAACTTGAGAGACTGGCAAACAAAATAGACTGCAGACACACAATAGGAAGCAAACAGAGGGAGAGAAAGATCAACATACTCCAGTAAGAGAATAATTTAAGTCTGTTGTTTATTGCCAATGTAACACCCAACTTCCATAACCAGAGGTTTCATTTTACATGCCCAAAGTGACATCACAGGCCCTAACTCTGCAGGAATTAAACTTTGCAACTGTGGACAGTTGATTCCAATAGCTCAGGGTTTGTTACATACAAAAATGAAGGTTAAAACAGATCAGGAATTTCACAGCATTCCAATATTGACTTTATAGTTTTTTGTTTAAGCATCAAAGAGATGAAGAACCTGCCCTGTGAGGGAAGACTGAAAGACTTAGGTCTTTTCTCTCTGGAGAAGAGAAGGCTCAGAGGGGACCTCATCACAGTAGTCCAGTACTTAAAGGGCAGTACAAAGAGGACAGAGGCTTTCTCTTCACAAGGAGCCACAAAGAGAAGACAAGAGGCAATGGGTAAAAGTTGCAGCATGACAGGTTTCCTCTCAACATAAGACAGAAATTTTTTTATAGTGAGAAGAATCAATCAGTGGAACAACCTCCCCAGGGATGTGGTAGAGGCCCCATCCCTGGAGGTTTCAATATGCAGTTGGACAGGGTGCGAGATAATCTCATCTAAGGTTCCCTCTCCCATGAAATGTTGGACCAGATGATCTTCCAAAGTCCATTCTAACCTGGGCTGTTCTGTGATTGTATTTTGGGGGTTGAAGATCGCTGGGATGGAGACCGGATATTATTTATCCAGAAACCATCTGGCATAGTCATAATATAAATTTATCACACATTTGTAAGTTATTGTAATAGAAATACAAGCACTGACATTTCAATTTGCAACATTATTTTGAAATAGTAACAAGCTGTTCTAGATCTGCATTCCTCATACCCTAATCTCTACCATTTTCACAACAGTGTTAACTCCTCTGCCTTCTTTGTTCCTCCCAACACCCCCAACAAGAACAAACGCATGGTGGGACAAAAAAAAAAAAAAATTACGCAGTAATCAAATGACCAGAAAGCTGACAGAAAAACAGAATGGGTAAACTGAGCATTCCCTTCAAGGAAGCAGTAATTTCTCTCTAACTAACTACTGATATTCATATTTGTAGCAACTTAGCTATCTCAGCAAATTTTTTGAACTCTAACAAATTTGATTGACATTGACCAATGAGTTCAGAAATTATTCAAGCAGGAAGAAGGAGAGACAGTAAGGGGAACCACAACTGCACTGTCAGTCAATTGTATGCACTGTTTCCTTAGAAAGCCAGCCCAAAACTCTTACCATAAGCAAAATTATGCTAGTAACAAACTGTTAAATAACAGTTCATCAAATAGTTTCTTTTCTGCAAGAATCAGAAGATGCAATAGATATTTTATACTACTTTTAGAAAGAACAAGAAAGAACATTGAGCTACTTATCCACAAAAAAGCTTAAGCCATCACCGCACCGAGAACGGACAAACAGATCCAACGTTAAACACTTCCTTCTAACATACATCACTTAATCTATAAGCAACAGAGAGATATATGTCTAATCTACACACAACATAAACCACTAAACACAATGATCATTCACATGTTCTGTACTTCCCAACTCTCCAGAAAAGGCATACACACCAGCTTTCAAGTTCACAGAGTGGCACCCACATCAACCACACCACACGCCCTCTCCCCACAAAGGCCTGTGCAGCACCAGAATGTGTTTCTGTTCTCAGGTCAGTGAAAGCAGAGTAATGAACAAATGATGTTCCAGTAGATCAATAACATACATATGCACACAAGACCCATTATACACATCTGCTCTCTGTAATTCTCTTCTGCTCAGGACTATTGTACTATGTTGTTATGAGCAGGCAGAAAGGATGCTGGTTGTCAGCACTGTTCCAGTTTCACTCAACACCTACTGTGTTCAGGGGTTTTACTTCTCTCACTTGGGAGGCGGAAAGCCCACGAAGTCTGGGAGTGAACATTTCCAGCAAGGGAAGTGGGGAAAAGAGCATTATCTCTCAAAAATAACGGAGTCAATAAGATCAGATAAGGATATGCTTTTCAATCTGAAGACCAATGCTATCAACTCAGAGCTAAGGAGATAGACAGTACTTTGAGGTAGGTTCTCAGCCCTGATTGTCTTCCCCTGTGGCGATCCTACTGGAATAAATACAATCCTCCCATCCATGATCTCCCATGGACTTCAGAGCACAAGGAGGGTTTCCTCATGCCTGAGCATGGGGGATGATGAAATGTTAAACCAGCACATGGACATACAGTGTAGAACAAACATTAGAACCAAGGCATTCAGACAGGCATAACTTTTATATTCTGTACAATTAGAACTTTCATAATTGACACAATTATTTTCATATACACAGAGAGTGTTAAAACATACGTTTAACCTGCACAGGTTAGTTTATGAGAAAAATTTGCTTACACCCAACTCTGAGTGAGGGAGACAAAGAAATGCCCAGCCATCTCATCTGCTACTGTTCTCTCTTCCATCTTACGCTATTCTATGCAAGCCCAGAAATACTTTATTTCCCATCCATCACTCCAAATCATTCACTCTCTTCTCATAAGCCAATATTCTATATACAAGTAGTACTCTCTCTTATATATACCAGAAGTACTCTTTTAACATTCTGCTCCTCCTTAAAGGAGGGCTTTCTAGACTAAAAGTTACTCAGATAAAGGTTAAATTTAAACTTGTATAGAGACTAACTGTGTATGTACCTAAGCCCAGATCGTATCTAAATTTAAGTACAGATGTCTTAGCTAAGTGTTTACCTTGAAAAAATGATCAGGTTGAAAAAACTACACTAACAACACCTATGCATAAAAATCAGACACGTATGAAAATTCCTTTCACTGTGTATTATATAAGAACTTTAAC